ATATTACTATTATGAAGATCGTTCCGTTGTGGCAGAGAGAGCATTTTGCCTGATGGAACAGCTGGGGCCACTGGAGTGGCTGCTCGTCATCCCTCCTGTCATTTGCAGGCAGGACTAACAGCACCGCACACCTCATGCCGTGTGCTTCTGCTCTCTTACTCAGGGTTCTCGCTTTGCCTGTGAAAAACAAGACACCGTGGGACTGGCCCAGCCCAGGCCCACCCACCCTGGCCCCTGGGCTGTGGGCTGCAGACAAACAGAGAAAGAGTGCCCCTGGCTCGCTCCTGGCCCCGTGCTTCCTAACGTGGAGGCTGCCACTGCATCGTGGGATCTGGCTTTCTGGTTTGGTAAGCAGGACAGTTTCCTCTGCACTCTCCCAAAAGAGGGCCACGTCCTAGCCCTCGACCTGTCGGTGGGGCACACTACACGGCAAAGCGGGGAATTAAGGTTTCCAATCATCTGAATTCTCTGGGTGAGACCAGGGTAATCCCAAGAGTCCATAAAAGTTAAAAAAAAAAAAGAAAGCAGAAGAGATCAGAGTGGTGCAATTTGAGAAGAAACCAACCCACTGCTGATGGCTTTGAAGGTGGAGGAAGGGCCCCCAAGAGCCAAGGAATATGAGCAGCTTTAGGAGCTGGAAAAGGCAAGAAAATGGGTTCTCCTCTGGAGCCTGGCGTTGGCTATGAAAATAAGAAGAGTGCGCTGTAGCTCGAAAACCATGTTGGGTGGAAGGGAGGACTTTTAATTTCTGTGTCCTTTTGTTTTCATTTTAAGATTGGAGGAACCGGAGCATGTTTACACCCTAAAGGAAACGTGCCAGCAGAGTGGACAGCTGAAAGATCCACACAATAGACAGGGAAGCCGCACAGACACCCACCTACTAACAGAACGCAGCATTCTTCTGTGCGGTCGCAAGTGCAGACATGTGTTTTTCCTCCCCCACATCTAGCATCAGAAAGTTGGCCACAGCGTCTGTTTGAGGAGGCTGGCAGCTCTGTCTTGAGTGAGTCAGACAGGACAGCAGGAAGGGTTGGGACTCTGCGGCTGTTCTGTAGAGCCGCGTAGAGCCAGTGGACTTGCTCCTTTGTCCTTCTGGCTTGAAGCAAAGCAGATCTCAGCACCCAACACGAGAAGTTAGAACCAGAAGTCAAGTGTGTCTGTGCCTCTAGAACGGAAAGGGATTCTCGGCTGTGAGCGCTTCTCAGTTCTCTCATGGGTTCTCCCAGAGGAACGCAGGGTGAATACTAGGCTAAGACAACGTTCCATTAACGCTCTCTGACTCTTACACACACGCACATGCAGGCACACACACTCTAAATAAGAATCAAATGAAATAGAAAGACTGTACAATTCTTGCTTTTTTTTTAACAGCTCATTGCAAGAAACTGAATATAGTTCCCTGTGCTATACAGTAGGTCCTTGTTTTTTTTTCCCCTAAATTATAACCAAAGGATATTTTGCTATTTCTTTATATATGAACATCTTTTCTGCAAACGTCTTTGCCTGGTTCCATCTTCCCTAGTAAAAAATAAATATTTTTTAAATAACAAAAAATTATTCTTGCTTTTTAAGACTCACAGGTTTTTTAGTACCTGGAAGACATTTTAAGATTTTAGTTCAATACTCTCGTTTTACAGTTGAAGAAATTGAGGTGTAATAAAACATATAATAATAATAGCATAACAATAATAAATTATAGTTATAATGTCCTTTCACATAAATTAACTCATTGATCCTCAGAAAGACTTGGGAAGAAAGGGAACAAAACAAAACCAAAACAGAATGGACTGAAATTGTACCTTAAAAATGTTCTGTTTCTCAATCCTCACATTTCTATCACATAGGCCTATTTATCTCCCCCTTTATCCTGCTACGGGTTAAATACACTATTTCCTTTTTACAGGTGAGGAGATCAAGTTGGGATGTAAAAGGGGATGCTTGATGTCAGACAAAAATCCTGGGTCTAAAACTCACGTCAGAATTCACAAGACAACTCAGGATTCTTTGAATTCAGAGATTTTTTTTCATTTTGTTTTCATTGTGTATTTTTATAACAGTTTAGGCTTTTCAGGGTAGTTTCACTTACATGGTTTAATTAATGGTTGTGACCGCTCTGTATGATGGGTGAAACCGCAGAGAAACTGAAAGACGAAGGATTCTGCGAACATCTCCTAAGTGGTTAACAGGATGCTAGTATCATGGCAACAACTGGGCTCTGAAGTTTCTCTCCCCCGTACCAGTTGTTCTCAGTCCTGCTTGCAGACTGGAGTTATCTGAGGAGCTTTTAGGAAAAAATGCCAGGGCCTGGGCCCCACCCCAGACTAACTGAATCAACATCCCTGATGGATGGGCCCTGAGTATTTTTTAAATCTCTCCAGGTGATTCTTATAGCCTCTGTTGAGACTCACTGCAATATATCATCCATTTAACACCTGAAGTTCTTAATTTTTGTCCCACGCAGTCTGATTCCCTCTTCTGTAATAATAGCTAACATTTTGGTAACATTCTGGAAGGAATACGAAATTCATTGCATTTTAGCTCTCCACTGAATAGAAACCATGCTACTGTGTACCCAAGCATCGTTTAATACAGGTTTCCAAAGTCCTATTGAATTGCCCACTCTAATAGGAAAAAAAGTCTCCTACCGTATGCTACTGTAAAGCAGTCAAACACTCTCTCTACTCACATGCACTGGATGACTAATACCGCATTGCATGGGTAAAATACAGAGGAATAAATACTAGAAACATAATACCTTTGTTTTCATTGCTGACCATGGTGGCTGCAGTGTGAGTGGAAACTCCGTTGCAGGGCAAGACTCAGAACGCAGATGAGCACGGAGCTTGCTCTCTGTTATGCCGGAGCCCCCTGTGTATTGTTGCTGGTATCCGTGTGTAACAGACAGCATTGTGCACTGGGCTGGAAGATAATAAATAGATGTGAGATGATGATTTACAGAAGGGTGCTTAGAACTCCTTGAACCAGCAGGAGAAGAAAACTGTGCTGGTACAAGGTTGTACTGTCAGACTCAAAATCCTTTTCTTCCTCTCTCTTCAGAGGGCAATTTCTTCAAGGCATAGCTTGCTTTCTGCCTTACCATCTGGAAATTCTGTGGTTAATTACTAAAATGCCTAATCCACGCGTCTCTAGCTGTCATATTTTTTCCTTCCTTTTAGTTCATTCTTAAAAGAATGTCTCATTTTTAAAATAAAGTAATTCTCATTAAAACTGCCTCTTTAGGAGTTTTTGTGTACAACTATTTCTACGCCTTTTATTAAATCTCCCTTATTTAGGACACTGTGGCTTAATGAAATTTTCTGTCTAACTAAAGCCAGTATGATTTGAAATTGTAATATCAGCAACAAAAAAAAATTAAATGAAAACTGAAAATGCCAGTGAGCTCTTTGCATAATTTCTTATGACACAGTTGTCTCATTTCCTAGACAGAGAAAGAAACAATTCTAGGGAAAGTGATGGTGATAGATGTATTAAGGTGATTAATGATGTTGTCAGCTTGATGTCTCACCTGTAGCATTTGAAAAATAGTTTGTTTATTTCTCCAAGACTATGTATGCTTTCTTTTTAAATCATTCTAATAGTAAACATAATCACACGATGAAAGCACTAACATTGCCAAAAATGGAAAGTGATTGCCTTAAGGGCTCATCTTATACCAGATGTTCCACGGAAAAATGGGTTGCTGCTAAAGGTGAGGTTTATGTACAGGCCAGTAAAGCAGCCCTCACCCCTACCACGTGGGCCTATCAGTTTGACAGTGATTCAGCACACTGCCTCTGCAGTTGCACCAGTGAGTGCAAATCCCAGGTCCGCCCCTCGCCGGCTGTGTGACCTTGGGCAAGTCGTTACACTCCAGCAAGCCTCAGTTTCCTCATTTGTAAAACTGAGAATAAAACCAGTTCATACTTCATAGAGCCACGACGGTTCGGGTGACTATATGTGTTCCATAAATGTAAGCTGCTGTGATGGTCACCAGCCTGGCGTGTCCCCCGGTCACTCACTTTGTCTTCGGAAGGCTTCTGACAAGACACACACCTTGATGGGAAAGCAGGGGCATGAGCCACCTGAGTCATTTCTCTGACCATTCAATCAGTTCATCCCCGAGGGAAGGACGTCAGGGTGGAGAGAAAGTGAGTCAAGCTGTGCGGAAGCAGGAGTCGGAGTTACTGGCCCCCGGGGCTTTGCTGCTGTGTGGGAAGCAGTGGGGCGCGGGAGGGAGCACGGGTGTCAGATCAGCACGCGTCTGGGAATAAGCCTGGCTCGAGGTGAGATCTTCAGCAACTTGCGCAACCTCTCTGGTTCCCACTTCGCTTAGAAA